TTTTTTCTAACAATTCGTAAGACTTTAAGATTATAAAAATTGATATACGATTCGTTATCAAAGGTGCCGAAAAACCGCGAGTAATAAATTGAAAAAAATCGTTAAAATAATAAAGACCGCCATATTGAATCCGCCATTTTGAATTTTTAGAAACCGACATGGGATTTGTCATCAGCGACCTCAAAAGCCCCCGAGTAACGATTTTCAAGCCAATCCAAACAAATTTTAATTATATTGTTCGCCATATTGGATCCGCCATTTTGAATTTTGATAAACTAACACCGGATTCGTAATCAGCAATCATAAAAACACCTAAGTTGTAACTTTCATGAGTTTACATAATTTTTATTGCGCTGTGTATGGTATAATTTGTTTGTTTGGAATCTTAGATGTGTTTTTGAGGTTAGGTTCGATAGATTTAATGTTTTATATGAATTTTGAATTAAAAAGCTTATAGAATAGTTGATTTAAATTAAGGGATCTTAGAAAATTAACAATATGCGGTTAGATTTAATTTTGATAAATTAAAAGTGACCATTTTAACGATTTTAGGGTATTTTTTGAGGTTAGGACGAAACCAGGACCCATTAGCCAAATTCTGATGGCGGATTCGGATTCAGCGCATCGAAATACATCGAAATACATATGTCTCGACCCCAGATCAAGACACTTTATTTTTTTTGTGTGGCTGTGTTATTATACAGAACAATTGAGAAACGCGAAATTTTGCCTATCATCATTAGAAGAATACGAGGTTAATTATCTAATTGTAAAACAACTTCCCCAACGAGCATGAGAAGTCTTAGCTACTATCGATTATAAGGACATAGCAAAAATAATGCAAGCCCTTACGCGATTAGATGTGACGAGACAGGATGTGGAAAGAGAGATCTTTGCTGGGATGTTGAAACGGACGAAAAGGTAGTCACAGAAAAATTGAAAATGAAGGTCTCGAGTCCGCGAATTTTAGCGAAAATAAGCGAAATTGACGAGAACGTATTAGTCGACAGCGGAAGTGAGGTTACCGCTCTTTCAGAACAATTTTATGAGGAATTAAAGGCACGTGGTAAAATAATCGAACTCCCAGTAAGTAATCTCACGGTTAGCGTAGCAGTTGGAAAAAAGGTTACTACTATTCGTAGACAGATACAGTTGACTCTCGATATAGGAACTCTAAAGTTGTCCTCGCCATTTTTAGTGGTGCCTGGCCTAACCACAAATGTTTTGGTAGGAATAGATTGGCTTACGAAATTTAAAGGGGTAATTGATACGGAAAAACAATGTATTAAATTAGAAGGAGACGTATTACCAAATGAATTAGTTACATTTCGTATGGCAAGGGAAAAAAGTAGTTCGTGTCGAGTAATAGAAATAAACAATATGAATTGGTATGATGCCAAACCTCCGGGTGTAGATTGGGGGATGGAATAACAATGGTCGAAGAAATCAGTTGTAGTCAAGGTCATGAAAATATGATACATTTGGTAGATCCCGAGAATTGTTCGAGCCAAAAATGTATGAGACAAATAACAAATGAAACTTATGTGTTCAAGGATGAAGTTTATGAATATGTGGCGAGATTAAATTCGTTAACTGACGTACAAAAAGGGAAAGTAATCGATTTATTGCTTACATATGAGAATGTTTTTTCAAACGAACCAGGATGTACGAATATATATAGTCATTCTATTAAACTCAGTAATATAAAAACGGTAGTAAAAAAATCATACCCTGTAGCTTTCAATTTACGACCGGCGGTAAATAAAAAATTAAAAGAAATGTTTGATCTTGGAATAATTGAATATTCTGATAGTGAATTCTGTAACCCTCTTAGAATCGTAATATAAAAAATGGCGAAGTTCGAATTTGTTTAGATGCCCGTTTCATTAATACTATTATTTTGTCGGATAATGAAAGTCCCCGATAATTGAAGAACTGTTGCAGAAATTTGAGGGAGTTAAATATCTTTCGACAACTGACTTGGTCCTTGGTTACTGGCAAATTCCGCTTGAGCCTGAATCGAGAAAATATACCGCGTTTTTACTTGAGGGCCATTTAAAACAGTTTACACGCGTCCCATTCACGTTTACCTCCACGTAGTGAAAGTCGGGCGACATTAGAATTATTTTAAACATTTTTACGGCTAAAGAATGTGATAAACGAAATTCAACAAACCGATAAGTTTTTATTTAAAAATTAATCAGCTATATTGGATCTGCCATTTTGAATTTTGAAAATTAGTTTTAGATTTACAATCAGCAACCTTAAAAACCCCCGAGTAACAAGTTTCGAACGAATCTAAACACTTTTAACAATTTCACACTTTCGAGTGAAATTTTGCAAAAAAATTTGTACTTCAAACTGCATTTTTGAGCCGCCCTTTTAATTTTAGATTTTCTCTATTGTCCTATCTTGTACATTGAGAGAAGAAAAGCACAGATTTTAAAATGGAAAATTTCAGCATCTGTACTCCAATTAAACGCAGCAGCAGTGCCACTGTGTGATAGGTGTGCTAAAATGTGAAACGGATTTTGACTTTGGCTTGAGGTACAGATGTTGTACTTCAAATGCTACTGTTTAGAAGCACAGTATCTGTCGGTTGCTATGAAACAGATCCTGTACTAATTAGTTCGTACCGCCGCCGCGCTGCTTGAGCATAGTATCTGAACTATGAATGACACCAACTGAATAAAATTAAGAACGGGCACTGACACGCATTTTACACAGCCGGTGTTTGACACAGTACGGATTCTGTGCTTTTCTTCTCTCAGTGTAGCTTATATATTTTTGTCACGTTATTTGTAACATTTGGAATTATTTTTTTTTGCTATTTCGTAGTAGAAAAAACTGAAAATTAAACAAAAATTTGATAAAAATGGGACATTTTTTATAAAAAACATTATTAACTTTTTTGTTTATGAATTTTTGATTTTTTTACAACGCCATTCGATAGAACGCATATGAAAACTTAAGAAAATATGATTGATAAATTTTTCTATTCATTTTTAAGTACCGAAATAAGTCCTCAAACTACATGTCAAAATTTTATACATTTGGGCGTTAAAGGGTTAATGAGATAGGGGAATACAGAGAAGAACCAAAGTCTTCGTACAGCATCACAGCATGGGTGAGATACGTTGATGTCTTTGTCTGTGATACCGAACATATTCCACATATATCGGTTCCAGGAGTCATATCGACAAAAAAGCCGCTGTTCTTAGTCAAAACAATACACTCTAATAATAGTTTGTGCAAGACCGTGCCAGATGCACAATCGACACTCAAAAAACAGCTAAGCGTTTGTAACCATAATCTTTTAAACGGCTGGTACATAAACACCAAAGCATGGTCCTCTTCATTTTGCTTTTGATGTTCCGGAGTCCACTCTCCGAGGTCGGTGAAACCTTCGAACTTTAAATTTGTTTTGTGGAAATGAATCGCTGTTGAAAGTTTCATTTCGTCGACTAAAATGACTCCAAATATTAAAAAAAATTGTCAATAACATTATTTACATTAAAATTTTTTAACATAATATATTTTACTTTATTTTGACCCCTTTAAAATTAAATCAGAACATAAAATTAAATACTGTTACATCCCGAGCAGAAGGCGAGGTTATTAGGTTAGGTTATAGAATTTTGGAGGAATGGTAGGCTGATTATGGTCAAGTTGGTAAAGCTTGACCTTTATTTTTTAAGTAGGATCGTTTGTACTTGTCAAAACTACGGGTTTTGAGTTACAACAACACAAATATTCCCTTTTTATAATTTATTTAAATATTAAATAGTATGATTACAATAATTATACAATTGTTACTTACTTTTAATTACAGGTTTATTCGTAGATTTCAATAATAGCGCAGGTCGTTATAAGTTTGGTTTGCAACAGTTGTTTCAATTGAATGAAACTTAGAAAGTTTGTTATGTTACACTTATGTAACTTTCACAACTTATTAATGTTTTTGCGTTTGTTTCAAGAGTTAAATACCGTTTCTAAGTGTTACTTATCGTCACTTGCACCTATTTAAGGAAAGAAACTTGTTTCTAAGTGTGAGAAAAGCAACTTGCACAATAATTGAGTACAATTCGGTCTGCAATTGCCAATTAGAGAAAGAATTGGTGAAAAACTACAATTAATGAAACTTGACACGCAAAATACGACAGTTAATTCATTTAAATAATTGATTCTAAGTGTCAAATTGCTTTTCTTGCACCTTTTACGGAAAGAAACTTGTTTCTAAGTGAAAAACAAAATTGACTTGCACAAAAACCGAGTACAACTCGAACTGCAGTTGCCGATTAGAGAAAGAATACAAATTTTAATGAAAAACTGAAGGGTCGCTCTACAATGACTATTGGTCTTATAAACCGCACCGGAACTTTTGACAATTTTTATTGAAAGAGCTTTGCCTTATATACTATAAAATTATTAAAAAGTGGGAGAGTTTGTAGACAATTATGGGGGTAAAAGGTGTCAATTCTTTAGAATAATACTTATTCATTATAGTTCTATTTATAATTAAGATTCGAAGAAAGAATGCGTCTCATCGGCAACTAGCCAACATTTTACCTCATATATGGAAAATATGATGCTCGAGTTACAAGCGATGATTCCTAGAACTCGGGTTGCGGGAAAGAGGTCATAGCCGGCGCGCTCGAGCTTACGTGAGTCACTTTTTGATTCAACGCATTGTTCTTTATTTTTGTTAATTTCTATCTCTGGTTTTGTTTTTTTGATCATTATTCTAATATGTAGGACAAAGTATAAGATTTCAGTTATAACTTCTATCTCATTTATTGTATTTTTACGTTTTTTTACTTGAGTATTATGTATTGAAATTAAGATAGTGAAGTTACATTACAGATATGCCTTTATAATCAAAATTAAAAATGTATCTGGGATGTAACAGTCCTCCCTCCTTACATTTTTCAACGTCTCGATGAAATTTAAGTCTCATTATTGAGATACAAAGTTTATACTTGAGAATTTTGAAATTGAGAATGTCCTAATCGTGAACTACTTACAGTGTCTACAGTGATATCAATATCCTTGCGCTCTTCTTACATTCGGTGGCGCTTAGATAAGAACGATAAAATTACTACATAGAGTGTTTGTTGTGTTATGATATGTGTTGTTTGTGTTTTCTTAATCATCTTCTTAAGGTAGGTATGGATTTCTTCTTTTTCAGGACGGTCGTTGACTTTTTGTTTCCCATGATGGTGATTTCAAATTGTCAACTTCAGCATTTTGCATCCCTATAAAGGATGGTAGCACATGCAGCATCTTCAGTAATTGTTTGACTTCTTGAGGTGCGGAATACAAACATCCTGAAAAAGTAAGAAGTGTAAATCTTCTTTTTGTTATAATTTTTTTAAGTGTTTATTGGTGTTCCTTTTTGTTATTTTTCTTTTAAAATATGTATTTTTTTGTGTAGTGTCTGGAGAAGGAGATTGCCCAATAGGTTTGGAGAAGTTTTTGAAGTCTCTACAAGTTATAGCGGCTTCTATTCATCACTCCATATTAGAAGTAGATTGTTTTGAAGCAATGGGGCGTCCGGGACGTCCGAAGCGAGGAGGATATAGAGAAAAAGTGGATGTTAAATCTCGAAATGAGAAACTGCGCCATTTGAAAAAGGAGATGCAGGAAGATTCGGCACAGATGACGTCGATGCTGAATCTTGTTCTGTGAGTATGATTTTAATTCCTTTGTGTATTTTATCTCTCTCTCTTTTCCTTTTTACATTTTCCTTTCTTTTTTTTTTATAGACGACCAGATCGTCCTAGCTGCTGCTATTGCGGGGGATGTTCAAGTTTACCAAAGGCATTGGAATTGACAGGTGATTATTTTTGTTATGTATTTAATATAACTTTATTGATTCTTTCTCTTTTTGATAATTTTTATACGATATTTTTCTTTTCTAGTTATAATAATTTTGTTGTTTGTATTGTTTGTTTTAGAACCATTAGAACCAAGGAAAATTGTGGACACTATGGTTTGGATCGATGATGCACCGAAGTTTGTGTCGTCATGCAAAATTGAAGATAAGCCTTTAGATCTGTCAATGAAGTCCTCCATCGTGAATAAAATTTTTCAACCAAAAATTTTCTTAAAGGATGTTAAATCACTTTTGGTTGATCCATTGTGGCTGGATCCTGTTCTTCAACCACAGGCAGCACCTTCTTTTGAAACACAACCAAAACCTTATTCGCAGCCAGGGCCTTCTTTTGAGTCGGGGCCAAGGCCTTCTTTTGGGCTACAAGCAGGACCTTCTTTTGAGACACAACTAAGACCTTATTTTGAATCGCAGCCAGGGCCTTCTTTTGAATCGCAGCCAGGGCCTTCTTTTGGGATACAAGCAGGATCTTTTTTTGAATCGCAGCCAAAGTCTTCTTTTGGGATACAATCAGGATCTTCTTTTGAGATACAAGCAGGACCTTCTTTTGAGTTGCAGTCAAGGCCTTCTTTTGGGATACAAGCAGGACCTTCTTTTGAGTCGCAGTCAAGGCCTTCCTGGTATATGGAGCCTGAGGACGTGAAAGTGGTCTTGGAGGAAAATCCGTTGCCGAAATTGGTTCCAAAAAGATTTGAAATGTGTATGTGCGGTCTGTGCAATTTATAAGATTTTTCTCTTCTTTTCTGTTCTTTTTCTTTTTACATATATTTAGGAGTATTTTTATAATTATAATACATGTCCGTTTAATAGTATATGTAGGTTGTGTGTGTGTTTTCTATTGTAGTGTGAAAGTGTGTGTGTTTGAATAAATTTGACATATTCTTATAAATTTTGTATACAATTATTTATTTCGCTAAAACCTCTCTCATTCGTTCTTTTAAAATTGAAGCTTCTTACTTTAAATTATTCACTTTCTTTTAATAAATCTATTATTTATGAATATATACTCATAATTGAGTTCTCAAAAATTAAAATTTAAAGGTGCTTAATTTGTGGAACTAAAATTGTATTTAAATAATTCATTTCTTTCTCTACTTCCATTTTTAGCAATTGTCAATCAATTAAAACTTTAAAACAATTGTAAAATTAAACTTATAAAACATCATTGCTGTTCTAGTCGCAATTAAAGGTAAGTAATTTGAATATACATTTTTTTTGAATTCTTATTTGACATAACAATTATTTTACATAATTTATAATTTATCGGCAAAATTGCTAGGTTTATTGAATTTGTTGACCATAAAATATTAAAATTAATATATAATTTCTTTTCAACTATTTGCCTGATTAATGTTGATAGTTTTTATTAGGAACAATTAATTAACTAGTCGTAGTTAATTGTTCCAAAAATAATTCCATCCAAATACTACAAAATCGATAATTATTGAAGGAATTATTGTAATAAATTTTGCAAAAAGTCAGTTGTTTATAATGTAATTTCATTAGATTTTCCAAAATGGGTAATTAGTTATTATAAAACAACATTTTTGGTTTTAATAGTTAATAATTAATAATTAATAAATAATAATTAATAAATAACAATTAATAAATAATAATTAATAAATAATAATTAATAAATAACAATCAATAAATAATAATTAATAAATTACAATTAATTATCAAAAGGAATTATTATCATCGAGCAATTCTGCATTTAAAGATGTTTATAATTGATTTTATTGTATTAATATATGTATGAATATATTATTTTTTTTTTAATTTATGATTTCTTTCTTTTTCTTATTATTACTTTGTTCAATATCTCTATCCAACCAATCTCCAATTGTCTACGATTCAATAAATTTCACAACTACTCTCATAAAAACAATTGTTAACTGTTGTTGGCAGTTTTAATTAAATAAATTATTCATTTATCAATTATTCGATGATAATAACCTTAGAATGAAGCTGTCCTAAAAGAAAGTAAAAGAAAATTGCAGAATTTGTGTTAAATTGCGTGTTAATAATGCATTATAGAAGCATACGTCTGGCCGACAATATGGCGGGTCGAGCGGTTCTCGCTTCGCTCTGTATGTAGCTGAGTCCAGAATGAGAGAGTCTGTGCACCGATGTTCATAGCTATAGGTATACTACAGCATGCTTTAGTATATCTATAGATATGAACATCGGTGCGCACCCTCTCTCATTCTGGACTCAGCTTAAGGGGAGAGGCATGAGACCCAGTGCGCGAGTATTGGATAGTGGGCGTGGGGCCTTTCACTCCTCCGCACGATGAGTCGACTCCTCCTCTCTTATACTCGCCTGATACTTGAGGCTTGATTCGAGTCTTTCAAACGTCATTATTTATTAATAATAATTATTTAAAAATTAAAAATTGTTGATATCCTTAATTGTTGAGTTATTTTCTTTAAATTTATATAATTTTTTATATAGATTTATAGTATACCAAAAATTATTAATTAATAATAACAATTTTATTTAAATTGTTATTTTATTTTAAGGTGATTATTAATTAATTTATTTATTATTATTATAAATAATAAAATTTTTTTTTTTTTTTGGCTATACATTTTATTAGTTGTTAATTAAGACAGTTAATTAGTTAATAATAATTAATAATGTAAATAATTATACGAATAAACGATAATAACAATTATGATAATTAATAATAATAATGATAGTAATTTATAATTAATAATTAATATTATTTTTAAATAAACTATGTTTAATATTTATTACTATTTTTATTAAATATGTGTATTAATAATATTTTTAATTAAGCAAAATTTTTTTTTTTATTGATGATGATTCTTTATATAATAAATTATTGTTATCTATTTAATATCATTATTGTAATTCTTTAATTATTATTTGGGTATCAATAACAATTATTATTATTATGATTTAATAAATATAGATTAATAAACATAATTATAATTTAATAAATATAAATTAACATCATTAATAATTATATTAATTTGTCAATTAATATTTATAGTGTTAGTGTTAATTATTTAAGCATAGTATGCAGACTTATTATTAATAATATGGTTAGAATTATTGTTATTAAGCTTTGTATTAGAATTTTATCATTCAAGAGCGAGAATTGAATTTTGAATTTGAATTCAGTTCCCGCTTTTTCATGATAGAAATCAAAGCATGCGCGCCTTACTATTATACTGGAGGCACTTATATGCATTAGTCACGTGGTTGAGTGGAACCACTATCCGGCCATCGCGGTGTGCCATGCATAGTAAAAGAGGTGCGGGCACGGTCGATGTACAATCGATGCGTGCTTAAAGCTGGCGCGCTCATTTGAATGATGTTGTCTTATGCTCTATTCATTTTTATTTTTATTCTATTTTTGTTGTTTTTGGGCTTAAAATTGTCGAAATTTTTGCAGATTTTTAAGACCTTTCCTCCCTCCTTAGACTTTACATTGTCCTCAATGTAAGGGAGTGGTTGGACTTGTTTATTATTATTATTATTATTTTTTTTTTATTAATTTTGTATTATTGGTGTTTGGTTTCTTCTTCTTTTCCATCTTGTGGTTATTAATAAGTAGCACAAGTACAGTTTTCTTACTATGATGATGATTATTATTAGTAAGAGTAGCTGAAAGCATAGTATAAAACCATCTTTAATTGTTGTGATGTAGTCTTTGGCATTTAAAATCCAACTTATAACAGGAATTTCCATCTGTAAACAGATTTATTTTTAACAGACGTTATTTTATATATATAATAATTTTTTTTTGATTATATATGATACAAAGTTATTTTTTTTTATTTATTAATATTAAAATTAATTTATTGTTTAATTAGTTTATTAATATTGTATTATAACTTAGTTAATTTGTTTTAATTGTGGGATTTTGTTATTATTATTTCATTAATTAATTTAATTATATTATTATGATTATGATTAATTAATTATAATTATGGATTTTATTAATTAAAAGAGGAAAAAAGTAGGCAACCACCATTTCTCTTCCTTCCTTTCTTTCGTCTTTTATATGTAATTATATATTTATTTATTTATTTACATATAATTATTTTTGTTTGAAATAAAGAGGAAAAAAGAAGGCAACCACCATTCCTCTTCCTTCTTTTCTTTCGTCCTTATTTTAATGTTTTGTTTGGTTTATTGATTAAATTATAAGTATACATTTTTTTTTATTTACATATATTTTATTAATATAATATATATTTTTTTTTATTATGGATAATTATATATGTATAATAGGTTTTTATAATATTTTTTTTTTTTTTTTTTTTTAATAACTGAATATAATTATATTATCCTTATTTATTTATTTATTTTTATTTTATTTATTTATTTATTTATTTTTATTTAATTTCCTATTAACAGTTAATTTATTAAAATTTTATACATGGCTTATTGAAATAACTGTTAATTGGAATCTATCGCGTTATTTTAGTCCCATGGTAGGGTAGGAGCTGGTAAATTCCAAAATTCATCTGAATCGTCAGATACGCTTGTTGTTGGATTTTCTTTTCTTAATATTTTCTTATTTCTGATTACGCTAAAGCATTGTTCTTTAACGTGCCCTCTTTTATAGCAATATTCACAACAGTTTTCCCATTTGAAAAGTTTTAATTTTAGTACTGATGGTTCGTCGTGGGACATTACATAAATTTTTTGTTTTAGGTTTTTGGGTCTTTCTTCTTCGCTAAAGAAATAAGTGTCATTTAATTCTTTAAGGATTATTTTGGCTGCTGAATGTTCCGATTCCCTAATTGTTCTGCACTCATTTCCAGTAGCAACAAACATGTTATTATTCTTATTGTCTGTTACTGCGCACTTCACTTGCCATAATTTATTAAAATTGGGTCCTGTGGTTTTGTCAATTATATAATTGGGTTTATTAAGGTTGTATTCTGCTGTTAATTCCTCGAGTATTCCTTTTGGGTATGATATGTTGTCTATTTTTCCTTTTGGAAACGTAAAAGCTGATACCATTTCTCCTTGTAGTGGTGGGGAGAAAATTATGGATTCGGAAATCTAAAAATTAAAATCATGTTATTATTCTTATTCATGTGCAATTTTTAGCTTATCTACATGTTTTTGGAACCTGTGACCATTATCATTTATTAGAATAACATTATTTTTGTTTAGAATATCCACAATTCTGTATGGACCATGATAATGAGGATCGAATTTTCTTTTTAAACCTTCTTTCATGACATAAGATTTATCACCGACTTTTGCTTGAAAAGGTTTGATAGATTTATCATACCTTTCTTTAGATTTTAATTTAGCATTTATCAGATTTTTAGCTGCTAGTGCCCTTATTTCAATTAATTTGGTGATAAGTTCAGTTAAATAGGAACCATATGTTTCTAATTTAACTTCCTGAGGAAAAGAACTAGGAGAACGAGCAGTTTTTCCAAAAACTAACTCATAAGGGGTAAAATTGGTGGCTTCATGCACGGATGTATTGTAGGCAAACATTACAAAGGGCAGTAGTTTGTCCCAATCATCATAGTCTTTAGTGTATTGCTTTATATAGTCTGCTAAAACGGCATGACTACGTTCTAAAGCACCGTTTGTTTGGGGCCTATAACCAGAGGTTGTAACTTGTTGCACTTTGAAAATTTTGGATAATTTTGACATTAATTTGCCAATGAAAGAAGTACCTTTGTCTGTTAAAATTACTTTTGGGGCTCCATACACTGAAAATA